CCATCCGACGGCTGCGAAGTAGATCTCCATCCCGGCGATCCATCTGCGGGCGTCGGAGTTTCGATCGCTCGGATCGAACGGCTCAGGTGGGCGCGGTTTCGGAGCCTCGAGAAACTGCTGCGACTGCTGCGTCGTCGCCGTTGTCGAGTCGTGCTGCGCTCCGGCGAGTCGAGTTACTCGCTCGAACTCGTTTCGCCACGCTTCGCGATCCGCTCGCAGCTCCTCCTGAAGAGCGGCGATGCGCGCGAAGAGTTTCTGGGTAACCTCGGCGTTGTCGAAGGTTGCCATCCTGTTCAAAACACGCGCGGGAGGGGGAATTCACAAAACGCGGAGCTGGTGCTTACCAGAATCGGCGTCGAATTCGTCGCCCCCGGCGGTTTTTCGAGGCAGGTTTTCCCGCTGCTGCTGTTTTGTTGAGCGCGGCCGAGTGAGAAAAGCTCTGATTACCAAGTGTCACAGGATCGAATGACTCGAGGATCGATTGCACTATCGATCAGTACAAGGTGCTTTTATACTTCCAGAGTACATCAGGTAACCAGGTTTATCCTATCCAAAGGAATAGACCCTTCTAGAATATAGAATCTCCCTGCGTATAGCCACGCGAGGCCATTGGCTTTAAGGGATTACGGCAGGATTACGCTGGATAATGTGCCAGTACATCCCAAGCCTGGTCGGTGATATAATTATAATAGCAGGATCAACCAAAGGATAATGGAAGAATGGAGAATAGGAAACCAAATGAGATGAGATAAAAAGAAGAATGAAATAGGAAGGAGATAAGAATAGGACAAGTGGTGTAACGGGGTCGTACTCTCACAACCGGCACCTTCGTCGACGCAGTTCCCCCACCTAGGGTGAACGTAGTCGATGGCCGCTGGCTCTTCAAGGTGAAGCGCCCTCTTGGAGAGCCGCCTGTCTTCAAGGCGCGCTATGTGGCTAGAGGCTTCAGTCAGTGTGAGGGGGTGGACTTCTTCCAGACCTTCGCTCCGACCCCGAAGATGACTACTCTTCGGGTTCTGTTACACCTAGCTGCTCAGCGTGACTACGAGCTTCACTCCCTCGACTTCTCCACTGCCTTCCTTCAGGGCAGCCTACACGAGCAGGTCTACCTGCGGCGCCCTCAGGGCTTCACTGGCACCTTCCCTCCTGGGACCCAGTGGCTCCTGCGACGCCCCATCTACGGCCTGCGCCAGGCTCCCCGTGAGTGGCACGACACTCTCCGTGCTACGCTTGCTGACCTGCAGTTCTTTCCGTCTTCCGCAGACCCTTCACTCTTCGTTCGTGCTGGCCAGACTCCGTTCTACATCCTTGTTTACGTCGACGACCTAGTCTTTGCCACAGCAGACAGGGACGCACTGGCCTCCGTGAAGGCAGAGCTGCTGAAGAGACACACGTGCACTGACCTTGGAGAACTGCGCCGTTACCTTGGCTTGCAGATCTCTAGGGACAGAGCTGCACGCACCATCACCCTGACTCAGTCACACTTGGTCCGCCAGGTCCTTCAGAGGTTCAGCCTTCAGTTCTCCTCTGCACAGCCCACCCCTCTGCCTGTAGACCTCAGACTCTCCGCTCCAGTGTCTGAGGAGTTGGTAGAGCCCAGCGGCCCCTACGCAGAGCTGGTGGGTTGCCTCATGTACCTGATGACTTGCACTCGCCCAGATCTCGCATACCCTCTCAGCATCTTGGCTCGCTTTGTGGCCACAGGCAGACACCGACCGCAGCACTGGTCTGCCGCTAAGAGGGTTCTGCGTTATCTTGCTAGTACATCGGGCATGGGGTTAGTGCTAGGAGGACGCAGGCCAGTGGTCCTTACTGGACACACAGACGCTTCGTGGGCAGACGACGCTGAGACACTCAGGTCTACCCAGGGCTACTGCTTCAGCCTTGGCTCAGGTGCCGTCTCGTGGAGAGCTACCCGCTCCTCGTCTGTTGCGCAGTCCAGCTGTGAGGCTGAGATCTACGCTGGTGCCATGGCGGCACAGGAGCTCCGCTGGCTGACCTTCTTGCTCACTGACTTAGGTGAGCGGCCTAGCTCTGCCCCGGTCCTATTCGCTGACAACAGGGCCATGATCCTCCTGTGTGAGGAGCCTCGACTCGAGGGCAGAGCAAAGCACATTCCGCTGCGGTACTTCCTCCTGCGTGAGCTACAGCAGCGGCACTGTGTACAGCTTGGTCTAGTTCCTGTAGCCTCTCACTTGCTAGGACCTTGACTTTGTACTGTCCTTTATACGTATACTCAGACTGGACTTGTGTCCTCTCCCAGTGGCTGAACTAGTAGTGCCGCCCTGGTCTTGTTCTTGCCTTGTTTGTACTCCTTCTGACTGGTCTCTCAGACCCTTGTCTCAGAGGTTGGACTAGTAGTGCCGCCCTGAGCTGCTTGTTTAGGGCATTCCCCTATGCAGTCTAGGGGGTGTGTCAAACATGTGTATTTGTCATGTTTGTATAGACTGTATAGGGTCGCCTCTTAGAGAGTACAACACTTAGGTATAACTGTGTGCACTCTCACTCTATCAATCATTCACTTCTCAATTTTGATATTATATTCCTTCATTCACTCATCAGCATCATCAGCATCATGCCATACACACTAGTAGCACATGACTCTAAAAGGCTAGTAACATGTTGAACTTAGTTTGAATTTTAGAGGTTGTGTAGCCGAATCGGAAGGGATGTTCCTCTATCCGATACGGGTATTCTCCGAGTCAAGCAGATTTGTTGTGCGCCCGTTGTCGTGGTCTTCGATGCTCAGCTGGGCTCCCTTGATTTTCCCGCTTCCCATCCGTTGCTCCACTCACAAATACTGTAGGTGACCTTTGTTCACTGTGGACCTGAAGGCGCAGGAGCCAGGGAGCCAGGCTCCACTAGTACGAATCCCCGCCATTCCATGTCGTCCGTCGGGCTCTAATCTGCTCCGTACCAGTTAAAATTGTTGACATTCGTAACTGCGGCAGCTGCAGAAACTTGTCACCTGTAGTAGCAACTGATGCAATCTCACCTTGCGCTGCCGCCGCAGCAAGCAACAGGAACTCGTTACCCACAGCAGCAACAGCGGTGGTGGCGATCCTGTCACACACACAAATAAGCAACGTGAGCAACAATCGTATCACTGGTTGCGTTAGCAGTGACGGCAAACTCATCTCGTCACATCTAGCAACATGAGTGAAAATCGCGGCACTCGCAACTAACAACAGCAGTCTTCGCGGAAATTCGGTCACTTAGCAGCAGCAGCTACGATCCCACTATGCACAGCAGTAGCAGCGGCGATCGTCCCATGGGCGGCAGCAGCCAACAGAATTGGCGTCACTCGTAGTAGCGGCAGCAGTGGCGGAAATGGCGGCCACTCGTAGCATGTGATGTGGTGTGGTATGTTCTGCTAGTATGCTAGCAGGGTTGTTAGGGCATGGCACTTAGCGAGCACCAGGAGCCTGGATTCTTCCCACCACTTACGCCATCATCGAGATCAACCGCGCTAGGCATGGCGGACCCTGGTAATGAGAGAGGGCGTTTGCTGAAAAAACGACTAAGGTGAGGAACGAAGATACGTGAATGCTGTGAGAGAGGCTAAAGTGGGGGAGTGGGGCTAGAGAGGGCTTGGAAAAAGGGAGGCGTGAGGAAAACATGTGTCCAATAGGGATCATGGAATCTGCCAGCAAGGGCGAGACAGGCATCATGTGACGTGGGCCAGCTGGGCGGTCTGCGTGAATACGGCGGGGATATGGGGCCACGTATGTAGACAGGGGGGTACACGAAAATCCGGGGGTATATGACATGGGGCCAGCTCGGCGGTCCGCGTGAACAAGGGGGCATGTATGGACAGGGGGGTACAAGAAAATCCGGGGGTATCCCCCTTACAGTAAACCCCTTTGGGTGGTACAAAAGAAAACCCTGGCTTATCAGAGAAAATGTATAATCTCAAAATTTTACCCAGAGGCGTAAGGGTGGTACACGAAATCAACTCTGAAAATCAGAGAATCAGAGTAATTTACTCGTTAAAAATAGGCACTGGTTGGTCCTCGATGTTGTGGTCTTCGCGTATTGTTACAGCAAGCGAGACTCCTGAAATATGCTGAAGTCCTCTTATCATTTCCAACATGGTCTTCGCGTATTGTTATAGCGCACGAGACTCCTGAAATGCGCTTAAAGCGAGAGGTCAAAATAGTGAAGGCGGGTCCAACTTGAAAAGGATCAGACGCCCGTTTTTGCGACTAAGGGACAAAGCTGCGATGGGGCAGAGGGTACACAGTCGAGAAATGCAAGCAGGGGAAACTGGGCGAGAAGATGCAGTTACCTGATTGGTTGGCGGGGAAAACATGTCGTACGGTGGGGAAAATGACTCGGGCAAAATCGCGAGCAGCGCGCCACCTGTCGCCCAGCCTCCACTGCCTGTAAACTGCACCAAGCGGGCCTAACTTGAATTTCAAGTTGGACCCGGGTTCACTACACCAGCAAAACTGAGGCTGGGTCCCGATTGGTCGAAATGCTAACCACGCAAATCTATGGTCGTAAAATTTGTCGCCAGTGCGAAATGTCGCAAGCGCAATTCGATTTCGTGGCCTACGGCTTGGTAAAAAACGGGGGCTGCTGCCTGCCCCTCCAAAAACATATTCACTGTTGGGTCATTTCTAGTTGGGCCCAACTAGAAAGGGGGGTCTCTATTATAGTCTCTCGCTTGAAGTCCTTTTATCATTTCCAACAGTGGCCTTCCTCGAGGCTCCTTGGCTAGGTTAGCTGTGCTTGTATTTAGCCCTGTGCTTCATTTGTACTTGAAACTTTAAGCATGACCTCACTATTGCATTACTCGACTCCTATCAGGAGATTATCATAATACCTACTCCATGTCCATTCTAGACTAACTCGACGTTTTAGATTGTTATGAGATCTCACAAGCCACCTCGAACACAGCTGATGAGAAGCATTGTAGTGAGTCACATCCATGCCATCTGCTCGCCATCAAATTCATAGCACAAGCTTGAGAAGCAAGGCCGCACCAGCATCCATTCCATCATCGCCGTTGCGCGCCTTCATTGCTGCATGATGCGCGTCAGCGTCGGAACGCCGATTACACTCGAAAGGCGCGGCGTGCCTTGGCTCCTCGTTCGCCTCGCCGCTAACGAGCTCCCGAGACATCCGCAGCCGGGGCTCGGCGCTCATCGCTGTCTGACGTCATCAGCAACGAGGCAGCAGTACGAGGGAGTGACGGGAATGGGTGCTGGCAGCCTTTATCGTTCCCACAGGAAAATAGCCGTCGTCGCTTCGCAATCAATTCAGCGTCTAAGCCGGTCTTCGAAGGTGGTCCGACGGCATCTGAAAGCAAAGCGTGCGTTGCTTACGTGCTACAAGTTCAGACCCCCGTGACGACGGGATCGCAATTTCCGCTCGCAGCTGCGAATGGCGGAACGTCGCGAGAGCGGCGCGGTGCTGCCACCCGCGGCTGAGGCAGAGTCCGGAGGATCGCAGCGAGCACCCGCCGACACGCGCGTGCTGCTCGAACCTTCCTCGCGGCCCTCCTCGCTGCCCCTCCCGCCGCTCGCGCAACCCGCGGAGACTCACGGCGACAGCCGCGCTGCCGCTGACGCCCGACGCAACTTCGACACGCTCGCGAGTGACCTCGAGCGTGCCGTTCGCACGACCGTCACCAGCGAGTCGCAGCTGCACGACGCCATCGCCACGTGCCTGTTCGTCGCGAACGCGCTGTGCGACTGGCCGGATTCGGACGATCGCAGAGCGAGAGAGGAGTTTGGCTTCCGCGTCTTGCGCAGCATGCCGGAAGAGGCGGAGTCGCTGCTGCTGCGAGGTGAGAAGCACGCGTTTGGCTAACTTGGCTGGGCAGCACAGCCACCCGCCACCCTCAAAGCTTCAAAACCTGCTTGCCGATGCCAGCCCCCACAATATAACCTCTCCTCTGATTTCCCTCGTGCCCGCGCCGCTCTCCCACTCGTCTCCCCAGACAGGTACTTCCTGATGGAGAGCAGCAGCAGCAAGCGCCGCGCACCATCATCCCCCTGGAAGGGCTTCACGGGGCCGCAGGGCAGCTCACGTGTCTACGCCACTGTCGCCGTGCCGCCCGCCCTGATTCCGCTACTGCCGTCACAGTTGCACTCCCCGTTTCGCACGCAGCTGGACGTGACCACCTGCAAGATCGACCAAAAACACAAGGTCCATGCCCCCCCCCCCCCCCCTCCTTTTCACACACGGGCCCCCCTCCTCTTACTACACCAGATCCTACGCACTCAGAACCCACTACTCCCCACTAAGCTCCGCCTCCCCCCTATCCATGTTTCCTTGCCGTGCCCATCCCTCGGAGGCAGAGACCACAGGCCGCCATGCTCCCACTGCAACACCCCAGTCACGAGCACACACAGCAGGTGAGGCGGAGGGTGGCGAGTCAGGAGTACCGTTAGATACCTCAATCTGGTGCTTGGGCGAATGTGGTTCCATTGGCAAGGCCTGCCTGCCTCGTGCCTCTGCTGTCTGCCCCCTCGCACCCATGGTCCTTCCCATTTCGTTCCCACCCTTTTCGCTTGCCCACCTCCGCTGCCTCCAGCTGCATGCCCTCAAGGCTCGCAGGTACTTCCTCCTCGTCGACCAGCCCCTGTCGCACCGACCACCACCCCCAGCACCCCTGCCCCGATCGCTGTCAGAGGCACAGTCCCGGTCGCCAACAGTGCCCTCAGGACCGCAGCCCCACTCTCCACCGCCGTCCTCCTCCCCAACGCCAAAGGCGGTGTCTTCTCAGCCCACCCCTCGCTTCTGGCAGCCGCTGTCTCTTGTCCTCATCTCCTCTACAGCCCCCTCCCATGCCGTCACGCTCGATGCCAAGCAGCTGTACTCAACGGCCAGAGCCTATCTGTCAGGCAGAGCACGAGGTGATGGCAGCGGGGATGGCAGTGGGGATGATGATGTGCAGGGCGTGTTGCGCGCTCTGCAAGGATGTGGGGTGGCATCAGCAGGGGAGCTGAGTGGTGTTGTGGACGAGAAGGGGTGGACCGCCATGCACATCGCTGCTCGCCAGGGAGACACAGAGGTGGTGAGTTCATCCTCCCCTCCCTCATCCGTGCAGTACACTCAACCACGCTATATTCCCCCCAACTTGTATCATGATTTAGCATACATCAAATCAAAGTATGTTCTGGTATGCGAATTTGATTAGTTAATGAGGAGTTGGACTGGCTGCGACGTTTTTCGTGCCCTAAAATCGCAAACCACTCTTTGATCGTTGGCTTAAAGCCTTGGGCCTTCCAACTTCAGGGTTTCCCTGAAAAGCCCAAAGTTTGCCCCAAGCCAGGAACGTACCCTCCTTCTCCGGCTCTATATACCTGCAGCTGCAGGCTCTACTGCACAAGGGCATGCGGCCTGGAGTAGCAGCACATCAACCATCCTACTGGCGCTTCTTTGCTTTCCCCCCACTCCTCCTCCCAAGTCCCTGCAGCTGCAGGCCCTACTGCACATGGGCATGCCGGCAGGCGTGTGCAGCACGCTCAATGCCACAACGCCAATGCACCTGGCGGCATATGGCGGCCATGTGGGGAGCATGGAGCTGCTGGCCCAACATGGGGCGGACATGCGTGCTCGCACAGCTGGGGGATGTGAGTGGCGTCAAGTCATCAATTTTGCACCTTTGGTCTCCTTGACATCTTCCTCCGCTGCTTCCACCTCTTCCTCCGTCCCTCTATTCGCCCTGCCGCTTTTATCTCAGCTGCCCTATGCCTCTCATCTCCTCTTTCCACCATCTCCGACCCTCCCAGGGACCCCTGTGCACAACGCTGCCAGCCAGCAGCAGTGGGGGGCGGTGAGATGGTTGGCACAGCAGGGGGTGACGCCCGAAGAGCTGAAGACGCCAGGGGCCAACCCCAGGCCGGACAAGCTGCCCGCCCATCTCATGAAGACGGCGGTGGAGAAAGTGAAGGAGGAAGACGATAAAAGATGGGTGGAAGAGTTCCTTGCGGAGAGTGGTATCAGTGCGGATGTTATGGCTGGATGTAGCTAGGCGGTCATGCAGAGAGGAGTGGAGATAATGAGGGAGGAGCATGGAAGGATACGAACTGTACAGAGTATACATACCCGACAAGGTAGTTTCCAGCCGACCTGTTTGAAACAAGCTCTATGGTGTAGCAGCTGTCGTGAAGAATAGTGGTGAGGTGATGTGATGTCTGTCTCAGAGTAGAAAGATCGACTAGAATGATGAGGTACAAGGGAATTTGACCTAAGGTGTTGTATGTATGTTTATATGTAGAAGTTATAGGCTAGATAGGCTTGTGTTCTTAGAGGGTACATCTCCAACCCTATATCTCCCCTGTACTCTCTTGTTTTTAATTCATTTCTCGTATTCTAACACGGTATTAGAGTAGGTTAGGTCCGCCCACCCGCTTCTGCCCCTCGCCCTAGCCTACCATCCCATCGTACCCTAGCCTATTGCGCCCCGCCGGTCCCTAGCGCGCCTGCCGGCCCCTAGCGTACTGCCGGCCCCTAGCGCACCTCGCTGGCCCCTAGCGTGCCCGCCGTCCCTTACGCGCCGTGCCGGCCCCTTAGCGCCCCGCCGGCCCCTCGCGTCCAGTCGGCCCCTAGCGCGCCGTGACGGCCCCTCGCGCCGTGCCGGCCTCACGCGCCTAGCCGGCCCGTCGCGCCTAGCCGGCCCCTCTCGCCTAGCCGGCCCCTCTCGCCTAGCCGGCCCCACGCACTGAACCGGCCCCTCGTGCCTAGCCAGCCCATCTCGCCTAGCCGGCCCCTCTCGAACCGCCGGCCCCTCGCACCTAGCCGGCCCCGCGCGAGCCGTGCCGGCCCCTCGCGCCTAGCCGGCCCCTCTAGCTCACCGCCGGCCCTTCGCGCCTAGCCGTCCCCTCGCGTGCTCGCAGGCCCCTCGAGCGCCCACTGACCCTACCCGCGCCACTGGGCCCCAATACTCCGCTGGCCCTTTGCGCCCTGCCGGCTCTGCGCGCCTCGGGCCCTGCGCGCCTCGCGCCCTCCTCGGCCTCCCGCTCGGTCTTCTTGCCGGAGAGTCCTGCCGCCACCCTGCTGTGCCGCCATGCCGCTGAGTACCTGTGCCGCTGTGTCGCCTTGTCCCTGTGCCGCTGTCTCCCTGTGCCGCTGTGCCACCGTGCCGCTGTGCCGCCGTGTACGTGTGTCGCTGAGGTTGCACGATGTCGGACGCCATACTTCGCCTGGACGCTGAGGGGCACGCGATCGACTTCGCCGCCTTCTCTGCTGCTGCGCTCGCTCGCGTTGTCTGGGATTCACGCGATGCTGTAGTGCAGCTCGCCATTAGTAACGCGCTTCCCCTGTTTGAGCGTTCGTGCTTCACTGCTGTCGCGAACGCCAAGGACTTCCTAGATGCAGTAGTTGCACGCTACTACACACCCGCCTCCGCCTCCGCTGGCCACTTGATCCTCCCCATGCTATTCCCCGATCTTTCCACTTTTCCCACTGTCGCTGATCTCGCCACTCACCTCCGTGCACTAGAGACTAGCTACTGCGCTGCTAGCACTGCCGCCCAGCTCAGTGCCTTCCCCCCACTGTTCTGCGCTACCCTATACCTTCTTGCCATGCGCTTGCCTGACCGCTTACCCACTGCCTGATACCACTTCCTTAGCCAGCACCCTAGCGACCTCACCCTTACCGCCTTTGTCACTGCCCTGCCTGAGATAGAGACTCGCCAGCGCACTATCGCTGAGTCGAGCGGTGTTGCGGCAGTCCAAGGCTGTGCTCCCTCCCAGTGCACGTACGCTGACGTTTCAGCCGCGGTCGCTACGGCTGGGCCTGCCATTGAGACCGCAGCTGCAGCCTTCCCGCAGCAACGATAGCATCGGGGCCGCCGCGGCCCCAAGGAAGGGCATGGTGGTGGCGCTGGTGGTGATAGTGGTGGTGGCGGGGATTGTCGTTCTGACGAGGGGTTTGGGATTGGTGTCCAGGAGCAGCAGCAGCCATAGCAGACCGAGCAACAGCAGTCGCAGCAGCAGCAGCAGCCGCAGCCGCAGCTGTGGGCCCGCCTCCCGCTGGGGTGGCCTGGAGCCCCTAGAGGTGGTGGCCGCAGTGGCGGCCCCCGCAGCTCAGCGTCTACCGGCGGCTTCGGTGCTGTGAGCTGCCAGTTTCAGCTCCAAATCGGGCCCCTTCGTGGCACAGTGTGCCGCCGCCCGCACCCAACTGCCCGCTGCTTCCACCGCCTCGACGACCATTTCCGTCCCCAACTGGCCCACTCTGCTGCGTCACGGTGTGCCTGTGTTTGACTTAGACATGGATCATATTAGTTCTGCCCTGCATTCTCCGTATGATGTTGCTTATACTGTGTCTGGATCTTATTACCCTGTGTTCTCTAGCTTAAGCGTAGCACCTGTATGTAGTACAGACTCCATTACTGCGTCAGGCGTAGGACCGTTTGCTTTGTCTAGCTTAGGCTCCACACTCGCTCCTCCTTCGTCTGCCGCTACTGCTTTGCTGTCCTTTACACTGGACTCAGGTGCGTCTGCCTGCTTCTTCCGCGACCTCGCCACCCTCACGCCGCTTGCCGCGCCTGCCGCTGTTGCACTTGCTGACCCCTCTTCTGGTCCTGTCGTTGCTCGCAGCTACACTACCCTTCCCTGTCCGGCGGTTCCCTCGGGTTCCCTTACAGGCCTGCACATCCCTTCGTTCTCCAGGAACCTAGTTGGTGTCGGCTGTCTTCAACAACCTCGGCGTCACCACTACGTTCCCTGGTCACGAGCGGTACGCTATCTGTACCAAGGCCGCCTCAGGTTCCCCCCTTGCGATGTTCCCCCGGGACCCGGAGTCTAGCTTGTTTACGCTGGACACTGCTTCCCCCCCGGTCGAGGCGTCCTCCCCGGGCCCAGCGTCTACCTAGGTCACCGCTGCTTGCTCGTATCGGTCGCTCACTCACCCGTCACTTCTGTGGCACCATTGCTTAGGTCCCACCACGGTCTCGTCCTAGGTCTCCCTTCGTCGCTTCCTGCCCTCCCTCCCTCGCCTGCGCCGCCATGCATGCCCTCCGTTGAGGGCCGGCTGCGCCGTTCTCCTCACTCCTCTTCGCTTTGCCCTGCCACCGCACCCCTCCAGACCCTGCACCTGGACGTCTGTGGCCCAGCCCCCGTCCCCGGACCGCGTTGCGAGCGCTACTCTCTAGTGCTCGTTGACGACTATACGCGCTACACCACGGTGTTTCCCTTGGAGTGGAAGGCCGACGTGCTGGACGCACTTATCCTGTGGGTCATAGCGTCACGCCTCTACCAGAATCCCCAAAGCAGAATGGGGTCGTTGAGCGACGCATCGGTTTGGTCATGGAGGTGGCTCGTACCTTCATGACTCATTCCGGTGCACCCCATTTTCTGTGGCCGTTCGCCGTTCGCTACGCCGCTCACCAGGTTAACCTCTGGCCGCGCTCCCAGCGGCCGTAGGTTTCGCCGACCCTTCTTTGGACCGGGTTCCCTGGTGATGCGTCTGCGTTCCACATCTGGGGCTGCCTCGTTCACGTTCGTGCCTCTGGCAGGGACAAGCTCACTGCCCGCACTGTCCCCTATGTCTTCCTCGGTTTCCCCCTTGACTCGTCTGACTGGCACTTTTATCACCCGCCGTCTCACCGCTTCCTTCACTCTCGTAATGCCACTTTGCCACTTTCGTAATGTCTCCTTTTACCACCGCTTTCCCCACCAAGGTCTCGCGGCTTCCCCTCACATATTTCTGGTTCCCACTCCCCCGGTAGCCCTTGCTCGCCTTCCTTCCCATCCTGCCCCGTCTGGTGTGTCTCACGTCACTCCCCTCCCAACGGTTGTCCCGGTCGAGGAGTCGGCTGACTCTAGTGGCCCCGCGGCACAGTTCTCGCCGCCTATCTCTCCTCTGGTGTCTCCTCCTCCGCTGTTGCAGTCGCCGCTGCCGCAGCAGCCGCCGCCGCCGTCGCAGCAGTAGTAGCTGTTCGTGAACTTTGGGAGTGCTAGAGTTTAGGAGGGTGCTAGTCCTGGGGTTCCTGTCATGGCTTGTCCAGGCGGCCACGGGGGTGGCACTAGTGCTGGAGAGGGTTCTCGCTCTCGGGGTGCTCGTTCAGGGGGTGCTAGAGTGGAGAGTTATGGAGGTAGCCGCGGTGCAGCTGGCGGTCTAGGTGTCGGCGTCGAGCAGTAGCAGTCGCCGCCGGTGTCCGCCCTTCGCCTGCTCGGGCTTTCCTCCCCTGACTACTCGCCTTCGGCTCGCCCGCCGCCTCCTCCCCTTCATGTCCACGGTCCTGTCTATCCTCCGCCGGACTCGTTCCCTGCCCGTTTCCCACCTTGTTCCCCTCCTATTACTCCTCCTCTGTCTCCTCACCTGATGCCTCCGTCTCACGTCTGGTCTCGCTGTCCCTCTCGTACTCCTCCTATCTCTCCTGTTCAGCATTCTCACCCTATGTTGCTTCGTTCCCACGCGTCTCGTCCTCCCCTTCTGCCTTTGCCTCCTCCATCGTCGCTCGTTGTTGCACCTCCCCCTCTATCTGACTACCTTCTTGCTGCTCGTCCTTTTGTTCCTCGGGTCCTTGCCTCCCTCGTTACCGACCCGTCTGTTCCTGTCTCGAGTCTTGACGCTCTTGTCGCAGCTGTCGCTGACTTCACCTCTACCCGCTGCCTTGACTATGCAACTGCTCTGGTCTCTGACCCTGTCTGTCCTCTGTCCGTCACGGGTGCTCCTGCCCTTGGCAGTAACGTCCTACACGACGGGCAGTACGAGCTTGCTTTCCTGTCTGAGGCCGCTCCCCATCTCTGTTCCATGCGGCTAGTCCTTAAGGGTGACCCAGACGCCTTTGACATCCTGACCCCTCGCACCTACGCTGAGGCGACCTCGGGACCCTGAGCCTCTCAGTGGATAGCTGCCATGGAGCAGGAGATGGCATCTTGGAGATCCACAGGCACCTACGTCGACGTTGTTCTAGCACCTTTGGTGAACATAGTCGATGGCCGGTGGCTCTTCAAGATGAAACCCCTCCTTGGAGAGCTGCCTGTGTTCAAGACGCGCTACGTGGTTAGAGGCTTCATTGAGTGAGAGGGAGTGGAATTCTTTCAGACCTTTGCCCCAACCCCAAAGATGACTACTCTTCGAGCGCTGCTACACGTAGCAGCTGAGCGTGACTACGAGCTCCACTCCCTCGACTTCTCCACTGCATTTCTTTAGGGCAGCCTACACGAGCAGTTCTACCTACGCCATCCTCAGGGCTTCATTGGTACCTTCCCTCCTGGGTCCCAGTGGCTCCTCCGGCGCCCAGTCTACGACCTGCGTTAGGCGCCCCGTGAGTGGCCCGACACGCTGCGTGCTATACTAGCTGACCCTGTCTGTCCTCTGTCTGTCGGGGGTGCAGTAACGTCCTAGAGGACAGGTAGTAC